ACATTTCTTCGAATATATAACCATGTATATCCGAATGGGTCCTCATGCTTCACGATATTAATGGATAGCGACATCTCCGTTTTGCGAGAAGCGTTTCCCACGACGATAACTACTTCAACAAGATCCCAAAACGTCACAACTTGTCTTTCGCGACAAAAAAAAAAAAAGTGCAGAAAACGACCCGGATTACTTTTTGTACCCTCCACCCATCCACCGTAACGACAGTTGGACCCGTTCCAGGGGCTAAATAAGGAAATCCTAGGAGGAGAGAGCCGTTAGCTAGGCCCTCTTAAAAAACACGAAAGTCGGAACAAACCAGCCAGTTCAAAAGGAAGGAATATCGTCGTCTCGATCCGCAGAAGGATGTCAGTCGCGCCACCCACCCTTCCTTTGTGTGATGGATCAGAGAGACAGCCAGCGCGCTTTTTTTATTGTCTCGTTTATTTGTTAGTCCGCGACGCGTTATCTCGTTGTGCTCGCGCCCGACCTTATTTCCAAGGGCGGGGTCGGGAGCGAAGAAAGGCCATCGCCTCTCGACGTCAGCCTTTCCCGCCTCCATGGAGGGGAAAGAGTTGTTGCCAAAGAACGAGACCGCTGGCCTGCGAGTTTTCGCACAAAGCTCTAATTCAACGAGACGACAGAGCGCGAGCCTTCAATTTCACTCTCGCTCATACGCAACTCATTCCGCGTCAATAATAATAAAAAAAAAAAAAACATAAAAAAACAGTCGATCAGGTTTAAACACGCACACACACGCACAAACAAAAGATTACTGAAAGATATCCGCAGCCGGAGAGCACAACACTCCAAACGCGAACATTGACTCGTGGAAGCTATAGTTCGCGTGCACGCAAAACTTGTTTCAATGTATCGAGCAAATGAGTCAGTGTGAATACAGATATAGCGTGCCGCCTTTCAGGGTCTATCTTCTATAGTTTCTACAATGTAAGTGTCCAGCAGACATGAAAGGATCGCTGCGCTATGGGACAACAGCAAAAATGGAGGTCAAGCACGGTGTCCGCGATTTCACAATGAAAGGTCAGCAAATCAGTCCAAGCAGGTGGGTCCCACGACCAACAAACTATACCTCAACAATAGCCGGGAAACATTTCTTGTTTCTTTTCTCTTCGTTTTGTTTCTGACTGAGAGGATCGCCGAACGATAAGACGGTGGTGTGGTGAGTAATATACTCACTCCGCGGTCCTTTTCATCGACTAAATTAGAGGCTGTTAAGATAACGAGGGCCGATATATACGGGTGAGAATTATGAGCGACGTCAGCGATGTATATCATCATCCACAGCTTGTATGCATGGTACGCCAAAAAGCCGATAAAAATAACCTACTAATAGGGAATTGTAGTATACCGTTTTTCTCCTCCGTTACGGTATTCCTGAAGAAAACGCCGCAGCTGCGCATGCGAGCCGCCAGCTTTGTCTGCATAGTTAAAGGTCTTGTGGCGGATTACGGAGCGCTATCCGGGTGCTTAGCGGGCTGCGGAAACGGTCTACTACAATTCCCCAATAACGGAGCTTGAGAGATCAACGTAACAACGGACCCTTTTCATAACCCCACCAGACAACACTGGCGGTCGCCATTTCTTGGGCACGAAGAAGCCCGTGGTTAAATCCGAGTCTTCACCGAAAGGTCACGCAGCCTTCTTGTCCAATACACACTAAGAGCAGGGTACGTGCCCAAACAATGGCGGACCCAAATGATTGGCGGAGCAGCTAGCAGGTGGCGCGCGCGCTTTTGATAAGTGGGTATATATTTGCATGGCGAAGCGCAACGCACGTCACCTATCGCATCCATTTGTGCTCTTCTCATCGTGTCTTCGCCACCTCAAAGAAACTGCGCGGGGTCATTCTCATCGAGGTTTTGTTCGCGCCTTTTGGCATTTCTTGCTTGCTCGCCTTTGTGTGGTAGCCGCGGTTCTTCTGACATGACATTCCCGCGGGCCTGCCATCCTTATGACAGCGTCGCTGCGTGGAACGACGCGTGCTTGACATTTATAGGCCAGGACGAGACTCCGCAAAGGAAATGATGTGCGACTCCACACTCCAAGCCAGAGAGAGTGAGACCGCTTTTTGCGTGATAACATTGGACCGCGAGGCCCCCGCGGCGACCCTGACGCAGCTTACACTTGCCATTTAAATGTTCCATGACCCATCCATGAATGCTTGCACGACGCGGCGCTAACAACCCGCCCTCACGCATTTCTATATGACACCGGGGGAGGTCGCGAGAAATTCGCTGTTGACGCCTTCTTCGGGCACAAGGTTGCTTGCTGCTGCTGCTCCGCCGGCGAGTTTCGCCTCCGGGTTTGGAAACTCTCGTGCATCTCAGTATCGCTCCGGAACCAATCAGATTGCAGAATTATCCGATGCCGAAGAACCAATCACGAAGCACGAACATGATATACGTTTAAGTTGTCACATGACTATAGAAAGAAACACTTCTCTTTTAGAACATTTTAAGCACGGTGGAGTGTCTACTTTCCCGTAAAGCACTTAGTACCAATCACTGCACCCTGTGTAAAGGGCTGGGCAAAGGACGAGGCTGAAAATAAATTTAGACGTTAAAAGAAGGGGAGAAAAAAAATGAAGCAGTCCTGCGTTCATTTATAGCAGGGGTCTCGAACACGCAGCCCGCGGGCCGCACGCGGCCCGCAAGGATCTCGCGGGAGCGAACTGCGAGCCCCCGTTCCCACTTGTGCGCTACATGCGCCATAAATAAAAGTTTCGTATCGTCAATTTATTTCCGCTCGGAAAGGAGCTCTACTCATATAACGTGTTCACATATTAAACAATATTCTGTTTTCTTTTCTACTGGGTATTACTTCGTGTTAATATTCGCTTTTCACCCTTTATCATGTAAATCAACCGGAACGACAATACCACTACTTGGCTACAAGCGCTAGCTTTGCGCGAAGAGGCATCTCGGCAGCATGAACTCTCGCTCAGCAGGAACAACTGCCGTATATAATCTTATAATGATGCTATAAAATTGCAAGGAAAGTAAGAACTGCCGTATGAGGAGATATGTGCTTCCATGCCTGTTGTTGGGCCTAGTGAATTGTGCGACAGGGCAACGACAACAGTGGGACTGCTCTTGTTCTATTGAAAACTGCCAGATGTTGGCGTTTCAAATCTTATCACAACAGTTGCGGGACTAAAGTGAACGTATATACAAATCAAAGCAAAAGATGTCACTGGCAAAACGGCGAGCTTACAAAAAGCAGGAAGCACGAGGTTTCTTCTCTAGGAAATCTCCGGAGGTGTCGCTGGGAGAGCCAGCCGCGTTCCAACGTAAGACAGCATTGATGTTTTTCTTTTGCTTGTTTCTTTTGTTTTTTTTCAATGACACCAAAACATTGTTTGCCCCCCCCCCCCCCCCCCCCCTCCCCCCCCTCTCTCTTTCCGGTTGGCCCTCGACCTATCGGGGGTGGGCTATCTGGCCCCCGATAGGCTATCTGGCCCCCAATGACTTTGAGGCCCTTGGTCTATACTAGTACACAGTCACGGCGAAGTCGTTGGGGATCGGCGTCGCGTTCGGAACAAAACAGACATCTGACCATTTTGTCCCGAACGCTTTTGTTTCTTTTTCTTTTCTGTTTGTTCCGGATCGTGTGAAAGGGCGTCTCCCGGCACGCGAGATCTTGGCATTGACAGTGCTACAACGGCAGTTTGTTATAGGTTATTTTGTTTCTCTTTGTTTTTCCGAGAGGACGTGCAGTGGGCATATCGGGCACTCCAAAGACCTAGCTGTGTTTGGAGATTTATGTTTGTCCCTTGTCCCTCTTGTTCCCCTTCTCCAGGGATTATTTTCATCATTATTGTCCAGCTCGCTTGCCCCTTTGCATTTAATTGCATTATAATTATAACCTTATAAGTATTTTCGGCGAGAAGTTTGGAAATCGCCACCTGGTGGAATATTTCTTCACAACTTCAACTTTCACTGCTGGTGCAAGCACGTGCAATGCCGAGCATCTATGCACTATGAAAATGAAAACATAACCACGTGCACTGCTGGGCGCCGGCGCTCGCGTTCGAACAGGGAGTAGAGTCTACTCACTAATCATTCCAACCAGAGCTCTGAGGCCGCCGCGCCCTCTCGTCTCTTCCTCCCCGTTATTTCCTACACGCATATGCACTGACAGACACCAGTAACTGGAAGCATTAGCTGATCCTGGATCCAACGCAATAATGAGTAACTTCCACAAGGTCTCATGCGGTCCTTTCATATTAGAAAGGTGTTTACGTAAGACCTTGTTCTCCTGTATGTATTTTTTTTTTCCAGTATTGTTTAAAAAGCAAAAAAAAAAAAAAAAAAAAAATTGAGCCCGGGCGCTCTGGTTACTGGGAGGTCATCCCACTCACCTGGGCGTCCGGGCTCAATTTCTTTTTAATTTGTAACGCTTGAAACCACGTATTTATTATACCTCGTTTCGTCTAGGTATCGTCCACGAGTGGCAGTACTTCAACGAAGTTAATAGTGTATCGTGGTTCTTCTTTTTTTAAGCATCGAGTTTAATCTCGCATAAACGAGAAAACAGGTCGTACCAAGAGCTAGCACAGCAACACCTTAATCGTATTTGTCCGTTTCTCTCCGTGCAGTCGGCTGGCTGACGCGGAGCTGAATATCTGCGAACGCGCCGAGTTCAGCAGATTATCGGAGAGTGTCAGCAGCACTCCTCGCAGCGCAGCCAGCTCGCGCGACAATCGCCTCCGAAAGTGCGTGCGGAACTCCGCTCTTGCTCCGGTCGCATACCGGTTGAAAAAAACGACAAGTCCGACGACGCGTCTTGGAAGGCGTGAACTCCTAGAGAAATAAAGTGGGGAAAAAAAAGAGAACTTCGGCGGGGATCGGACGGCGGAGAGGACGCCGTGGAGGATACCCGAGAGGGCGAAAAACAAAATTGAACGGCGGGACACCACACGCACGCAAATCAGAGCACCGCCGTGGAGCGGGCGATCCCACGCTCGAAAGCGGAATACTCACGGAGTTAGGGAGCGGCGTTTGGTATCCACATGGCGGTCACACGACGCTGCTCGGTCGGCGGACGTTGACGACGGATCAAAACACGGGCAAAGTCAGCCGTTTCCAGCCTCAAAACGCGGACCCAAAACACACACAACCGGCGCACGGACGCACATAAACGCAGCCACGAGAGACGCCCGACAACTCTCGCCTCTCTCTCCTGCAGACGACCACTGTGCGAGGCGAATCAATATGGCCGCCGCTTCCCCGGTTTGGTACCTAGGTAGGGAGGCGTTGTCCCTATATGGTGCTCGGATGGTTCCCCAGGGGTTTTGCGGGGCTGCTTCCAGGCAGGTGTAGTGGCGGGCAACGTGTGTTCGCAGTGCGCTTTTGTTTATGGTGCGGAGAGGGGGAACAAAGTTGTCATGCCCCATTTCCGTTTCATGCGTCGGTGGCGCGCAGCTTGTGGAATAAAACCGTGCAGATGGAGCGGCAAAAATGTTGTCGTGTGATGAGCGTGGAGCTGAAATGGAAAATGATGAATCGCAGGATACATGCATGCGGTTCGTGATATAATCAGCGAGACAATCGAATCCCGTCTTTTAAAACTCAGTCTAGCATTTCTCTGTATAAGAGAACAGTCACAAATCCCTGAGTTCAGTTATTAATATGGGTTTATGTAAGCCACTAATTTTGTATTCTTGCAGTATACGCACGGAGCCACGAGTTTTTAAAGCGTTTTTTTTTTTACTAGCTTTATAACGCTCCGCATTTTTTTAAGTACCCAACTGCATAACTTTACAGTAGCGGGGTCCAACGCGATAATAACGAAGTCCTAGTTTATTAAATTTTTTTCATCAACTTATTTTGGATTGCATTTATAAATTGCTCGTTCAATTTTTAATTAGAGTCCTATCAAAGTAAAGCAGCCTGGTTTATAACACGCTATTATTCAACCCCAGGGCGGAGTATAACAACACTAATTAAAGGGTCCTTAAATTTAGAATCCCTCGAAAGCAGAAGGCGTATGGCCCGCTTTTCTATATTTCGTAAGATATGTTACTCTTCTACGCCCTTCCGACAATTGCACGTTGTGCCAGCGAACCACGCATCTTCTCGCGCTCAGACCGCCCGGACAAAGTATCCCCGATATATGCGCGCACTGAGCTATTCAAATGTCTCTGAATGGTAGGCCTTACCGTGCAATATCGCGGTGACGCAGAATCATTACTCTGCCCTTTTTTAAATCTCGTGATTTCCTTTCTCTCTTTAAAAGCATAGACATTTTTGTTCCTCGTCGTAGATAAGCCATAGTCATGCAGTATGTCATTGGATGTTTTTTCTTCTTCTTTTTATTGAATCTGTATATTATTACCACTGCGGTGCAGAAATTGAATTTAGTGATTATGTTTACGACTTTTTTGTGTGGTGCGGCTTCTTTTTTTTTTTGTGTGTGTTTTGCCTATCACTGCAGAAAACGTGTTTTTTCTTTGTATAAATTCCCCCCCCCCCCCACACCCCCTTATGTAATGCCCGAAAGGGCCCTTAGGGTAAATGAATAAATATATAAGCGGACATTGTCTTGTAGAAGATTTAGTTCAAAACCGATCAACAAAACAAAACCCAACAACGATGGAATGTTGACCCGTTGCATGGCACTCGAATCACCAGAAGCCCTCACTCTCACTCTGACTTTTCTTTTTATTCACACATACGTCTAAATATCAGCTAAGATAACTCTTGAAAGAATACAACATATCATTAAAATAAAAACAATACACCATTCGAATAAAAAAAGATACACAACTCGCAGAACCACTACCCTTCAGTGTTATATTGATCATGTTTCTGATTTATGTTCAGCAAATTCCTTGATGCTTAATACAGACAAAACAAAACGACACTGACAATGTCACGAAAACGCGAGATTTTATTTTACCTTATGTTCTTCAGTGACTACACGTGTCACCATGATTCGTGACCTCGGGACATATTTTGACCTTAGGTGTTCTTTCCCTGGTCACGTTACCCTGATTGTTGCCTCTTCTGTACGAATGCTTGGTTTACCTTCTGGCCTGTCATGTGACCTTAAGGACTATTTTTGCATTGTACGTCTATTTTTCTGCCTTATACGAACAAAACTTGAGTTCACTATTGTTTCATGAACTCGTTGCCGGCTTTTGATGTGTCTCGAATTGAAACTGTACAGAAACGTTTTATTTGTACCATCAACAGAAGATGCTACTATGACTATGATTACCTACTCAAATGTCTGCATTTAGAAAATCTACCCACTTGCCGGCCCACCTGTGACATTATCTTTCTACACAAAGTAACTCACGGTAACTTCGATGCTGACTTCCTCTTTACATTTTCATGCACCTGATCGCTTTTTAGACACCCGCTGTATTTATCCTTCTCTTCAAGGAAAATATTACAATTAATTAGCATGCAACTCTCATTTAAGGATTTAGAGCATCCATGTTTGAGCATTTTTGATTAAATGAACTCTTTCAAGCGTAAAATAGCTTGTGAGCTATGTTTAAGACTCTTTTGATGATATAGACCATTCCCTTTTTCTTTTTTGTGCGATTCTATGTGCGAGAATATTTCTTCATGAACTGTTTTGCTCTAACTTTCTAAGAAGCGTAAACTTTTTTTAGTGTGAACTAGCTTTGTGCAATTTATTTATGACTTCCTCGCGATGATTTTGACCTTTCGCATCTTCTATCGTCTGTGAAAGTATATAAATTGTATCTCTTAAATTTTCTATCTTGTGCTACCCCATCAAAACCGCGAGGTTGTTCTGGGGCACGAAGGAAATAAGGAATTCTTCTTCTTCTTCTTATGATTATTATCATTATCTCAGTTCAAGCGGTTTGTGTGTGTGTGTGTGTTTTGCACGTGCTGTATGTCTTCTAAACTTTTTCACTAATCCAATTCAGGTGTTTTTTGTTTGTTTTTTCACCGGGTAGTAAATCTTTTTCTCAAGTGTGATTAATTTTTTCTGTGTTAACGTTAATTAACTTATTTCTACTGCTGCTACTTCTGTATTTTCTGCGGCGCGTGAGCTGGTCATATCCAAGACCTGGAAACAATAATTTACAAACCTACCTCCCCAAAACCCCCAACAAGCCTCATGCTGAGTCCAGCACTACCTAGAATTTTCTACCTAAAGTGCACATGCATATGGTACACACCCACCGAGTCCCCCCATGGAAGTCTATTACGAACACTGGAGAGGAGGCGGTCTCCTCTCTAGCGTTCGCTCTGCTAAAGTGGAAGGAGGTGGGAGGAGCTTCCCCATAAACTCTCCAGCTGTCACTGACAATGTGCCATCCACCATCAGTCGCCTCGGAAACCGAACAGCAGTCACTTTCGGCTTATAATGAGAGACCCGATGTTGGGACGCTCTCTCTGTTATCTAATCGTCTGCTGCTCCAAATGTCAAACAGGTGGCTGACTGAATCCATGTGCAGCGCTTTTGTATTTTACGTCGGTGTTTTGAGGAAGCCGCGGTGCAGCGGAGAGGACGTCCATGGGGAAAATACAGCGGCAGGAGAGGGACGAGTTGGCCCTTTTATCCCCAGGATTTCCCCACCTAGGGATTTGTAGCTTTCCTTCTGCCGCCTCTCGCAGCATTCCTTAGGTGGGACCGTCCGCTCATTCAATCAAGGCATGCAAATTGAAGCGATCCGTTTAATGGCGCAGTGGCTTCTTTCGATTATACCTTTCTCTCTTTTAAAAGGCCATCGCCGTTCTTTCTTTTTTTTTTAGTGTGTGTGAGTGTGTGTGTGGAAATCCGTCGGTAAAGGCATTATGTTGCATTGGAAGGAGGAATGCCGATTGTCAGCAATTAGCGGACTTGTTTTATAAGTACGGTTCACTTTTTGTTTCGTTTTTGTTTTCCGGAAGTGCAAAAAGAATTAAAACGAGGGACGTTTCGAGAACGCCTTTTGTCTAAAGCCTTTAGAAGCTTATTTTATGAATGGACTTGGTATGTTCGCGTTTTTTGTGATTATGTTGCCCCCTAATTTTCTTTCTCTTTTTCTCTTCCGCACCCAGATATATTCTTGCGCGGCCGCACATGTTTTCATGTGCGTCACCGAAAATGATCTCGTGTAATGCAAGCTGTCTGGTCGTTTTTCGTCCCGCGCAGCTGTATAAAGAGATTTCCGCGAAACTATAGCCTCTGCACAACTGGGAGAACCACATGCTATCGAGGTGACCACGGCCGAGTGCGTCGCTTTGCCGCGACGATCAAGTACAGTTTCAGGCCATTTATTATTATTTATTTATTTACATTGTACCTACGTCACCTTCTGGTCATTATTGTAGAGTGTGTGGGGGGGGGGGGGAGGGGGGTTAGAAAACATTATGACAAGTAAAAAGAGATCACGTCATCATCATTAATGGACACAATATCTTCCGGGAGGTCGTTCCACTCTCTCGCGGTTTTGACAAAAAATGAATTAGGAAAATTGCCAGTCCTGTAAATGAGAACAACAACCTTTTTAGAATGATCACAACGGGAAGAGACGTAGGAGGGCTCCATAAGATAAGTGGCTTCATAAATTCCTGTTTCGTTGTGAAATAAACAGTGGAAGAATTTTAGTCTTAGTTTTTTCTTCTACATTCGAGGGTTTCCCATCCCAGAATGGCTTTCATATCTGCAACACTAGCGTAAGGGTCATAGTTGTTCATTACAAAACGCGTGGCCTGATTTTTATTTTTTTTTAGTCTATTGATAAGAAGTCGTAATAAGGGACCCACACAACGCACGCGTAATCAAGGATCGTTCTTACCAAAGAAAAATAAAGCGTTTTTTTAACGTTTTGCACGGACCTTAAATTTTGGCGGATAAAACAAAACATTTTATTAGCCTTTTCGATTGTGCTTTCTATACGGCTGTTTCATTGTAGGAAATGCACAAATAGCACTCCTAGGTAAACATACTCGAACACAATATATAAAGCGGTCCTGTTGATAATTCAGCTTTGAGAATCGTGCAGCGTACTCCTTGAGAAACGACATGTAAGCTGCACGATTACCTCCAACGAGACGGTCGACGTTTGGTCCGTTGGACCTTTCCAAAAAAAAATAAATAAATACACTGCAGCCTTACTCAAAGGAATCAACGAAATACAGCACCCGCTTAACGAAAAAAAAAAAAAAAAAAGGAAACGTTAAGCCTTTTTACTCTGGTGAAGAAGGAAGACCAGCGAAACTGTACTATGGTGGGAA